AAAAAAAAAAAAATTCTATTAGTCTGGCCCCAACACTCGTAGCAGTCAGCGTCTTGTGCTGGCTGTACAGCTCTATTCATATTCTTATCTCAATGTCCTTGAAATTGCTTTTTCCTTTTCTTTGATCCTCCATAATGTTTTTGCAAATTACTAATTATTAGCTACAAGTTGGAAAGAGTTAGGTTATTAAAAGTAGTTAGGACTAGGCTTCAGTTTGGTTGGTGCAACTAAAAAAAAAAATCCCTTCTACAGACAGTTAGGACCAGGCTTAGTAAAGACCATACGTCTATACACAACACTGACAACCACTTGTTGAGGTCTCCACAATAGTGTCAGTGTTCATATGATGACCATGGGGCATGTATAGTTGTTGTTTAATCATCATTAGTGGTGAATTTCCCATTGTTGAGCTCCTGAAATGAGGCACAGAACAATGTAAGAAATGTATAATACACAGTCATGACACACATCAGTCTATTAGTTGTTGTAGGAGATGTTCCGGTAAATGTAGGCAATAGTGTTGCCCTGGTTAGTGCCTAGAGTGCTCTCTATCTTGTTAGTGAGGTTACTTAGTTCAGGAGACAGACCAATGTGTATGTTTAGAGCTCACAAGCAATGGCAACTGCTGACTGTAACATAAAAAACCTCCAATTTCCAATGGGCTGACTGTGATTTATAAAACTGTTCCTTTCTCGTCATTCCACAGGTTTGTTTGAAGAAGCAAGTTCAGGTGTGTCCACTAGAGGGAAGAAAAACTCAATGGGAGGGAAGTAAAGTACAACTGTGTGTGTGTGTGTGTGTGTGTGTGTGTGTGTAATTTGGTATTTCAGCTGCCATCTATCCTTGACAATAGTGACATCATGCATTTGGGTTCAGCAATGCCATAATGAAAACAGAGCAGGTGGTTGGCTTTATTCTGTTAAAAAGCTGATAGAACACCACTCAGTCCAAACATCTACATCTTGATGGCTTTGAAGCTATAATGTCATTTTATTTAGGTAATGCTGCGTTTCACCGGTTGCTTGTCAGTGGCATCAAATCCCCTTTGTGCATGTGTCCTAGTTGAGGCTGTCTGCCAGAAGCTGTCATAAATTGACTTTTTATCCAGTTTTAACCCACATTACTAGCATACACTTTTTAGATCTTGGTGCTTATAAGTTATCCTAAGTTATTACAAACGTGTCTTAAGGACATAAAATCCTGGATGAGCTGCAATTTTCTGATGTTAAACTCAAAAAAATTCTTATACTTGGCCCCAAAAACCTCAGAGACTCACTGTCTAAAAATATAGCTACTCTAGATGGCATTCCTTTGGCCTCTAGAAATGGCAATGAAAGAGTGCGGTGTTTCAAACCTGGGCTGCATGGCCCACTCTTTACAACTTGCTGTGAACGAGGCTGTGTTAAGTCAAAGAGCTGTGTCTGACTGTGTTGCCATTGGACGCAAGATTGTTGGACATTTTAGACAGTCTCAAGTAGCGTCCTCCGCCCTGAGGAAGTTACAAGAACAGCTGCAAGTGCCACAAACACAACTCCAACAAGACATAGCTACGCAATGGAACAGCACGTTTTGCATGCTTAAGAGTCTAGTGGCGCAGAAACAAGCTATTGCAGCATATGCAGTTGAACACCATTTGCCCGCAACACTCAACGCCCACCAATGGACCCTGGTCGAAAACATGCTGACCATCCTCGATCCATGTGAACAGCTACCCAGAAACATCAGCAAGGCCACGGCCACCGCTGCAGACGTTTTCCCCTCCATCCTAGCCTCGACGCGTCTGCTTAAGCAAACTGTTCCAACAGACGGAGTGAAGACATCAAAGGACACCTTGTTAAAAGCAGTGCAATCACGTTTTGGTCACGTCAAGGAGGAGCCCCTGTACTATCTGGCAACAATACTGGACCCAAGATATAAGGACCGCTACTTCACCCTCGCATCAAAACAGCAAGCAACAGGTATGCTGCGGGAAAAGTTGCTGGAGAATGATGGTGCCACAGCTGTCACTCCCCAGCCAGAGGAGCCACCAGAAAAGAGGAGCAGGAAAGACGGGAATAACTCATTGTTAGGAATGTTTGAGGCAATACTGAAAGAAAACACTGAAGCTGCCATTCACCAGGAAAACAGCAGAGTGGATGCAGAAGTAAGTGTATAGATTTATTTAACATTTTCTAAAGACAACTTATAACTCGCATTAATGGTCAGAACAACATCATAATTAGATTGTATTTTTCTGTGCTGTGTTTTGTTGACTTTTAGCTTCAGTCATATCTGTCGGAGCCAACACTTCACGTGAGCCGCTGTCCACTGGAATACTGAGGAGCAACCAGTCCCGTTTTGAGTGCATGGCCCAGCTTGCTCTGAAATATCTGTCAGCGCCTTGCACATGTTTCGACAGCGAGCGCTTGTTTTCTGCTGCTGGACATGTGATGACCGAGGAAAGAAACAGACTTGCACGTGAAAAGGCAGAGATGTTGCTTCTCATTAAAAAAAATCTTCCCCTGATCCATCAAGAGGTAGAAGGGTAGATAAATAGTACAGGAATAGAGTGAGTGTTGAGAATACTGTGCGATATCAGGTCAGAACATGTGCCACCTTTTTTAGTTTGTTAGATTTAGTCGGACTAATCGATAAAAATAATCGCCCGATTAATCGTTAATAAAATTAATCGGTTACCCCAGCTAGGGATGCACGATAACAGGTTTTTAAAAACGATACTGATAACCGATAACTTTTCAGCCCCTAAACGCGATACCGATTAAACCGATAACACACCCCACACATATACATTGGTAGCGCCTGGCAAAGTCAGAATTCACATTGCTACACACCTTTCCATTAAAAACACACATCTTATTCATGGCTTTTCTCCATCACACCCACATTTCATTTCTTCCTACCTCCAATGAAAATAAATTCCACCGGACCCGCTTCAGTTTGAATTCCATCCTCCATGAAGGGCATTTGGATGAGTGCAAAGTTCACCGGTGGAACGAAGGGAAAAGAGTCAGAAAGGAGGTCCGTGGAGGGAAGGAAGTGGTGACAGCGTGCATTAAGTGTTGTTGAAGTCCGCGATATAGCCGTCTTGTCTTAAAATCCTCGTCGCTGGGAGTCCGTCGGCACGATTGCCTTTTGGGATGGTGTTTATTTTCCCCTGCGGATCAGGGATCGGTGGTGGCATTTTTGTTTTGTGGTGTGTTTTGCTGCACCGCGACGAGAGATGCTTGGTTATTTTGAGTTATATTTCCTTATTTTGTGTTGAGTCCGCGGTAAAACCCGAGCGGATGGTTTTGGAGTTGTTGTTTTGTGGTGCGCCATGTACTGGGACTTGACTGTCGGTAATTGTAGAATACTTGGAACGTTGACTTTTTCCCTGAAATGGACTGAAACTTGCGGGAATTAACCAGGGACAGGACCTGAGGAACAAATACTGTCACGCCCGCCTGCCACACCTTCTTCTTCTTTTTGCAACTGGGTGGACCAAATAATTGTGAAAAATCCATTTATTATTGCTCGGAAATCCGCAATTTGCCTGGTTTGGGTTCGTTGATTGCTTTTTGTGGTTTTATTGCTGTGTTCTGATCCTGGCCTGGTATTATTTTTGGTTAGGGTATAACTAACTATTTAATATAAGTTCTGTTTTATTTTACCTTTGTCAGACTTGACCTCTGACTGATGGCACCCCCAACCATTAAATCTCAGTCCAAACCCCGCTACAGAACATATATATATGATCATTGACCCTAAGATCCATGACCCTTAATACCTATTGAACACCCCAAACCCCAAGAAACAACTTCTTGACTCCTTTATAAATGGAGATACTGTTAAATTTTTTCTCCAATGACAACTATTGGCAAGGCGCCCTTGAAACTGATGCAAAAATTAACCCGCAAATGGAACATCCGGGATTGACAAAACTTTAAAAAAATGCCATTCCAGAAGATTCAAAAGAAATAAATTACTATACAGAAAATTAGATTGCACCCGACAACAATGTTGGATTCAATCATTTCTGCTGTAAAACAAACTGAAAAAGTTGCGATTACCTCAATTAAATAAATACCCAAATTATGCATAATGCCACTGACAAACAGAGTTTATAACCCTGTGCTGTGTAAACACAACTGAAAAAAAGTGCGCACTTCCTCAATATTAAATAAACATATGGCCATAATGGCACTGACCACAAGTCTTAAACTTGTCTGTGTAAGACCCAAAAGTGCATTCCATAGGTAACAACCAAAATGGCTTCCATTGGGTTCCCATTCAAAATCTAATCCCGTAAATTGAGGTTCAGATTGGAGGAGAGAGAGAGAGAGAGAAGAGAGAAGAGAGAGAGA